ATATCACCAAGCTTTACCTTATCTCTCCAGGTAAGCATACATATTGGTTGACAGATCCTAATAAGAGGCCTGGCTTGATTGATTTTCCCGCCACAAGAAGAATGCCTAGAGCTCATGTTCACGTGGAACACTTAACAGATCTTTCATAAGGGTGACTCGCCCATTTTAATACAACACTACGACCATCAACAGCTCTCAATACGGACACACTTTTTAACTTTTAGTAAAACAGATTGGCTTAAATACAGAAAGTATGTAAGTACCCAATCATGTACTTTAATGAAGAGATTGAGAGCTCAGTTGAAGCACTATTGTCTGTTATGTCACTAGCTGCACAAAACTCCACACCCGTTATATCAGCTAATAATCTTTTTAACAGCAGTCGGGTTTCTGGGCATATTAAGGAACTGCTATGCAATAAGCGATGGCTTCGGTGGGAGCGGCAAGCCCATAGATCGCCTACCTCGAAGCAGCGGCTTAAAACAACTATCGACCTTCTACGCAAAGCTCTAGAAGATGCAAAAGATCGATCCAAATTATCCTATTTGGAGCAACACTCCCCAAACAGAAAACTATATCCACTGTGGAAAGATAAATCAGGCATATGCCCACCAATCGAAAGTGAGTTGCCAATACACATACAAACAGGAGGCCAATACACCCAACAAACATCATTCCAGAAGCTACCCCGCTTTTCATATTCCAATCAGGAGAAGTGATAAGAGTGATAAAGGCTCAAGAGAAAAAGTAAACGCCAGGACACGATTATATCTCCCCTAAAATGATTATAGAATTGCCGAACTGTGCAATAAAACTTCTCACCATGATATGATGAAATGGGGCTATTATCCACAACTATAGAAAAAGGGTGTCATCACTATGATCCATAAAGCCGGAAAGGACAAGTCAACCAGCGTTTGGTTGAATGGATTAATTTATAAAATTAAAATATTGCTTCCACAAAACACCATCAACATCGAAGCTAAGAGAACACAATTAAAATTAAAAACAAGAAGCCTACACTGGTTAATAAACGCGAGTTCTCCGCTTAAGTTTGACTGCAAGATACTTCTGTATAATGCAGTCCTCAAACCAATTTGGAAAGATGGCTCCGAGCTATGGGAGAACGCATGCGTTAGTAACTTAGAAGTAATCTAGAGAGCTCAATCAAAGGTACTGAGAACTATAACTCGCGCACCATGGTACACACAGAATGAAAACATTGGTACACGTGCAATGAATTGCAGAACACAATGAGTACTTTTCAAAAATGATCTCTATTAATTACTCCACGTTACATCCGGTGTCCTACAAGGGAGCCACCTAGGACCGCTACTTTATCCAAATTCCTGGAGGAAGCTAGAAAAAGCTACTACACGTACCAACTAAAAAGGGCCTGCAAGTGGTACTAAAAGGAATCGGGCTCGACGTAACCGCCAAGGAAGTTATCGATGCTCTCAAGGAAAAAAGGTTTTCTGCAAAGAACGTCAGTAACATTATAAACAGGAAAAAAGAGTCGCAACCACTCTTCAGGGTCGAGCTGGAACCTGCAATACTTATTGCACCGAAGCATCAACGTGGAAGAGCCACATAAAAGGAACGGCCCAGTGCAATGCACAAATTGTCAGGAGTATGGACACACCAGGGCATACTGTTCACTTCGAACAGTCTGTGTAGCTTGTGGAGACTTCCACAATACGGCTAACTGCCCTGCCAACAAAGAAGACCCCAAAATGAAAAAATGAGTTACTGCAAAGGTAACCACACGGCAAACTACAGGGGCTGTCCGGTCTACAAGGAGATGAAGGACCGCAGATCCAAGTACAGTCACAAAGCACTCTGGAAGCTATGATGGTCACCATGCAGGAAAGTATGATGGAATTCATGTCAATCATGAAAACGACCATGCAAACACTGGTTCAAAACCAGAACATGGTGTTACAGCTACTTGCAGGTAAGCAGTCTAAGTAACAGATGGCAAATCCACGAATTACAATGTGAAACGCCAATGGAGTTTCACGGCACAACCTTGAAATAACTCAGGTTCTGAATGATAATCATATCGACAGTATGCTACTGGTAGAGACGCACCTCACTAACAAATACAACTTCCAAATAAGAGGCTACACTTTCTACCGCACAGACCATCCAGATGGTAAAGCCCACGACGAAAGCGGCATCCTAATCAGGGAACGCATCAAGCACCACTTTCATCAAAGATTTGCAACTAATTACTTGCAAGCCACGTCTGTCAAAGTGCAGTCAGGCAACGGAAACCTCACTAGCCGCTGTCTACTGTCCGCTTCGTTTTAGAATTTCTGAAGGACAATTTGTGGACTTCTACAACTTGCTTGGAGATCGCTTTATAGCTGCAGGGGACTATAACGCCAAACACACGCACTGGGGATCACGCCTTGTGACTCCCAAAGGAAGGCAAATTTACAATGCAATCATAAAACCGAACAACAAATTAGACTATGTTTCTCCTGGCAACCCCACATACTGGCCAACAGACCCCAGGAAAGTTCCAGACCTAATAGAGTTTGCGGTGACAAAAAACATTCCCCGCAACATTCCCCCCAGTACAAAACATCCTCTGTGGAGGGCTCACCCAAATCTGAGCTCACCAATCGAAACAGTCACTCCGATAAGAAATTCATCTGGCGGATGGGTTTTTAGAGCAAACTATATTTATTGCTTTAAAAAAGTTTGCAATTATGTTTGAAGTGTTTTATCAAGTTCTTCTTCTTTTATAATGGATTGCGGAGATGCACGTTTCAAAACTTTTGTTACAACATCAATTAATGAATCCCTAGCACCTGATTCTAAGATATCTGAAATTTTTGTATATGTCGAATCGTCAGTTCGTAACCTTAAAATAGAAATAAATGCTAGTTCTGAATTTGATTTAACGTATCCATTCTTTTCCTTAGTACCGTTCACTAGCATGGGGACTAAATATTTAAAAACTTCAATATTAATTTGATCAACTTTTAAACTTTTAGAAATGTGGGTACAACTTTTTGCAACCAATTGTTTAACATCGTTGCTAGAATGATTCGTAGCTCTAGCTAATACTACAATATTACAACATTAAGAGGGAGTTCATAATTATTGATGAGATAGTGCTCCAAAAAATAAGTAGCAGCTCTTATTGCATTGCAAGCAATTGACACTTTGTCTGATGAAATATTGACCAAAACATAAGATATAATCTTTTCGTGCAGATTTGAAGTAAGTATTTCGTTGGGACATTCTTTTAAAGCTACAAACAAAACTATTGTGTATCCATGCTTTACTAATAGATCATCCGTACTATCCTTCAGTATTAAATTATTAAATAAATGGTCTACTTGTCCAGGCGCTATGTATTTTAACATCGCCCTCAAGCATCCGCCAACGGCATTGCGTGTGACATCTTCGTGATGGCCAATCATACTTCAGGTAATATAAGTTTGTTTTTTTATTGGTTCCGACATTTTATCTCCAGATCGACTAACAATACTGCGAAGAGCAAGGAGCATTGTTTCTCTAACAGAAGAGTCATCTGAATTTTTTATTCCGCTATGAATCTCATTAAATAAGGGATCTGCTCTAGAGTGAATTGCTACTAACTCAGATAAAGCTTTTTCGGCTTTCATCCTTGCGTTTCTTTTCTGGTCATGCAGCGCTTTAAGAAATGTGGTCTGAAGTTGTGGTAAGAACTGCTTCAATAGGACACCCACTTTATGAAGCAAAATTGACAAAGTTTCTAATACAGCTGCCTTAACGGCTGCATTAAAACGGTCACCTAGTATTCGAAATAATGGACCAGTTATATGTAAAACAGAAGGCTGCAATGATTGTGCGTTGGTTAAGAATATAATTTCTCCTAGTCCTTGTGCAGCGTTTTCTTTTTCCTCAGGAAATCCATTTAAAATAGCTTCTCGAAAAACTGGTAACAGCGGAGTAATTCCTTCTGGCAAAAAAAATCCAGGAAGCTCCGGTCCTTTTAGTTCGCTTGCTGCAAACCTAACTTCTTGGCACACATCAGACACATGAGAGATTTGCTGTGCGGCATTCAGACCTTTAACTACAGCACTGAGAGCTTCCCAAGGTTTTTGTAATATTTCTTTATCATTATCAACCAACAGTTTAAGTAAACATCTTAAAAGTTGAGGAATGTATTGCCAGTAATTTCCTGGTAAGTGAATGCAAAATGCAGATAGTAAACTTGCTGATGATTTACGAGTGCATAGGTCAGAAGAATTTGCTGATATAAGTAATGTATCCTTTATTGTTCGAATTCCAATTTCGTCGGTTACCGACAATATAACCGTTTGACTATAATCGATCTCCTGCTGTTCATTCGGAGATCCGTAGGCTTCTGATAGGGCCTCTACTAAAGCTGATAATATTTTTGGCAGGTATTTTGTTAACGCTTCACCAGCGACAGATACAAGTATAGATAAGGCTTTTGTATTTACTGGTGGAGAAGTCAGTTGGGGCACTAGATATGGCAAAACTACTCTTGATTTAATGGACATTACCTGCGTAATGCCATCCAAAGTATTCTCAGCAATAGAGGGGTCCGGGTCTGAGAGACCTTCTAGCATAAACGGCAGGATATCATCCAACGCCCGAGAGCCAACTGAGCTATGTAACGATTTAAATGTTTTAGCTGCTGCTTCTCGATCTTCAGGCAATGGATCGCACAAAGCCTTGCGGACAGTAGGAACTAGACTATTTGATGTAGATCCCATTATTTCAGATAAGCCAATGCAGACTCCTTGGCGTTGATCAGGGTGATCGGAGTTTAAAACATTTTCAAGAATAGGAATAATTTCTGGTAAAATTCGTTCCCCTAGTTTTCTTACCAAGTCACCCAAAGTTCGAGAAGCCACTTGTACTAGCCAAACATCCTAGAAGTAAACCAAACAATGTTGGAAGAATCTCGCGCTAAGTTCTTGGAGTATTTGTCTCAACAACTTTCCAGACATGCAACGCATCTTGCCGTACCATTAACGAAACATCACTTTGATAATTTGCCCTATATATGGCGTAAATGCTTCTGGAAATGCGCAAGGCATGTATATAAACATGATTATGTATCCATCCTTCACATGTGGAGCAATGTCTAATCGTTCTGCTGTCGAAATTATTTCTGGCATAAGTTTATGTATTTTCTTGACACCAAGTCCTTCAACTACCTCGGATAGGCCCTGTGCTGCTCCACTGCGATCCACACTGCTAGACTCGGAAGTTAATGTTTCCATAAGCCACGGTAATAAATTTTCAAATGAACTTTCACCCATACCCTTCAACATAGCACCGAGTGCTCAAGCTGATACAGCACGCACTTCAGGGACTGGATCTAATAAGGATGATTTAAGGCCAGGAATTATACTTGGTAAGTACGGTGTTAGATCTTTTTGTTCCGTTAGAGAATACATATTTCCTATTATTTGTGCGGCCATTTTTCTAGTTTCTGTAGATCGGTTCATGAAAGCACTTTGCACCACTGGCATTATTAATGCTAAAGACGGTGCATCAATAAAATGTATAAATTTAGTTTTTAGTAAGCTTTGAAGACATGTAGAAGTATTATAAGAGGGATCCTCCAACGCATCCAAAAGCACGGCAACAATAGCTTGAATTTCAGGATTTTTAACAACGGACCCAATTACTTTCAGAGCCTCCGCACCTGATTCTTGAACTTTAGTGTGGGAATCTCCCAAGACTTCAATTAGTTTCGGCACTATACTAGGAAGACAAGAAGACAGTTACTTCGGTGCACAGAATGCCATTGCCCCTAATAATTCAACAGAGGCTGTTATTGGGAGGGATCACCAAAGCATTGCAACAAGTGTGGTAACACATGAACTATATAAGGTTCAAATAGATGACCAAGTGTAGTGCATAAAACTTCAAAAGCGAACAAAGCTCCCTCTCTGGATCTATAATTTTTTTTTCTTGAATATAAGCTATCAGTTTCGACATTATATCTAATTGTTTAAGGGATAAAATACCAAGACCTTTAACTATGCCGGCGATACCATAGGCAGCTCCGCGTCTCTCGCCGTGTTTGTCGGACTTTGCCAATGAGTGTAATAATTTTTTGATCATTGCGGGGGCTTCCTCTTTCACGGATGGCATAAGATGGGGTAAACAGTTCGAGACCGTTTCCTGAACTTGTTGGGACGGAGTAGACAATGCTGTTAATAATCTTTTAACAATAGGATCAATTCGCTTGTCATCCTTTTTCAAATGTCGTGCTAACGAACCCATCAGAATAACAACAGCTTGGCGAATATTATCATAACTTTGAGATTTTGGCGCTTTATCGAGAAAATCTTCAAATACAGGTAACAAATTCACTATTGTTTTATTTCCGTGTAAATCAACTATCTTTAATGCAGCTGCTAACATTTATTTGTGTACGATATCGACTCTGTCACCAAGCACGTGTGATACCTTAAAATTCATAATAACATCAATGTCATCAATAGATAATAATGGAGCGATAGTGGAGAATGAAATGGCAACACCCCTTCGATGTTTCCATTGATCTGTAGCAGGCTCAATTTCACGGTCAAATTTATCATTGTAAATTGAAAATAATTGCTTTATTAGGCATTTTCTTAAGTTTTCTTGAAGCTGATTTTTGGACACATAGTTCGGGGTGTGTGACATCACAAATTATATCGTCAATTCCGTGTAAGGCAAAGTTTGTAGTATTCCAAATAAAGATGGCCAGTTCTCTATTTTCTACCTCTGTATCATATTTTGCTATCCAATATCGAGTTACAACGAAGACTATTATAAATTTAAAGGTGATTTACAATTCCATCTACCATTATTTTCAAGGATTTTAACGCAACTTTTCTAACCGAGTCAGTATTACTTTGCAGGGAGTGTAGAAATATATCTATAATTTGGTTATGCGGGGTAGCATTGGAAATACTATCATTTGAAGATTTCGCTACTTCTAAGATGGCATCAGTCGTTTGTGCTGCGAGTTTATTGTTATTTTTAAAAATATATAACAAAACTTCAATCATACCAAATCTAGGCATAAACTGCGGCTTACATTTAACCTCGTCATTTGTATGCCTAGCTATTATTTGTATGCCTTTCGAAATAAGTTCATTGCTTGAATCATTATTTAACAGTAATAGAGCACGCTTTAGAAACTCAAACGCATAAGAAAATGAGGGAGGGTCAAGTATTTAACATGATTGTCATTTAACATGATTGTCAAGATCGAATATAATATCATTAATAGCTTTCTTTATATTTAAAGCTTCATATTCCTCTTTTAAAATGCATGACGGGCCTTGAAGCTTGATTGTCGCTACTGCAATGTCACGTCCAAGTTTTGGCTGGAAAGTAAAACACAGGTTGCGCAAGTATAAGTAAAGATCTGTAAGAACCTCTGTAAGAATTTCACGACGAAATTGAATCTCTTCTAACTGTTACTTGTAACTGTAAACTTTATTTTCTCTTTTATTACAAACGGTTTCATTTGTGAGTCTATATGAGGTATTACACTTTTTTCATACAACTCACCTTCTGGAGTCAAATATGTCAAATATTCCTCATTGGAAGAGTGATAATTGGTAGAATGCAAAGATAAGTTTTTAAGTGATTTACAACTGTTGGTACAATAGGATTAGGACAAATAATGCTGATATGGTGTTTTCGTATTGCGCATTACTTATAAAATTGTTAATATATTTATTAACTATTTCACTATTTTTAGCCAATATTAATTGTTTTGGATCTAAACTAAAATGTCTCTGAATGGTTATTTCCCATAAGTATGGCTCATTCAATACAATTGCAGGATGATGTGATATAAGTAAAAGTTCCATAGCAACATCCATAGCTTCATTATACGAAATATCGTTTATACTGGTCAAACATACTAACGCGTCTACATACGCTTGTGTTGGAGTTCCAAATTGATCAATTGAAGTGTCTCCGACATTTTCAATGTTGACTAAACTAATGCGTTTACCAAATTCATAGATAGCTAACTTCACGAACTCTATTCCTTTTGAAGCACTTAGTATTTTTTTTACCTGGCCAGTAGTGTAATTTCGAACCTTTACTGAATTGCTACATAAGTTGTAAATTAAAGTGCGAACTATTGGTTCCAATTCCCCTCTAATTTTGTCATGATATGAATTGAGCAATATTCTTGTCATTAATGATATCGCATCGCTCAATTAGTTCGCGGCCCGACATATAAGGAGCAGTAGTAAGCAAATATAGATATTTTTTATCGAAAGTGTCGATTATCATAAGCTCTGTGTAAAAATTATACAACTCTGTGACCACGTGCTTTTAAGTTACAAATTTTTAAGTAACACAACCTTTGGGTTTTTCTACAATATGGAAAAAAAGGAGTTTCGTGTCCTGATTAAGCACTGTTTTTTGATAGGAAAAAATACAGTAGAAGCAAAAGCTTGGCTTGATAAACATTACCCAGATTCTTCTCCGGGAAAATCAACCATCAAAGATTGGTACAATGAATTTAAACGTGGTCGTGTGGTGGTCGCCCAAAAACAGCAGTTACGCCAGAAAATGTGGCAAAAATCCGAAAAATGGTATTGGCCGATCGCAAATTGAAATTAAAGGAGATAGCTGATGCCTCAAAGATATCGGAAGGCAGTGTGTTTACGATATTACATGAACATTTGGACCTGAGAAAGCTCTGCTCGAAGTGGGTGCCGCGATTGCTAACACCGGACCAAAAGCAACAACGCATCGATGCTTCCGAGACGTGTTTAAGCATGTTGAAGCGCAATAGGACCGATTTTTTTCGCCGTTACGTAACCATGGATGAAACCTGGATACACCACTGTACTCCAGAATCCAGTCGTCAGTCTTCTGAGTGGGTGGTAGCCGGTGAAAGCCGTCCGAAGCGTCCCAAAACACAAATATCGGCGGGTAAGGTTATGGCTTCTGTATTTTGGGATGCACATGGGATTTTATTTATAGACTACCTGGAAAAAGGTAAAACAATAAACAGCGAATATTATATAAAACTGCTGGATCGTCCACATATGGCCAAGAAGAAACCACTGTTTCACCAGGATAATGCACCATGCCACAAGTCTATGGCAACAATGGTGAAATTGAGTGAATTGAGGTTCGAACTTCTGCCGCACCCACCTTATTCTCCAGATATGGCCCCCAGTGACTATGGGCTTTTTTCAGATCTCAAAAAGCACCTCCAAGGCAAGAGATATCGATCAAATGAAGAGGTGATTGTCGATACTGAGACCTATTTTGAGGGTAAAAGTTAATCTTTCTACAAAAATGGCATAGAAAGGTTGGAGAAGCGCTGGACTGAGTGTATAGCCGTAGATGGAAACTATATTGATGAATAAAACAAAATTTTCAAAAAAAAAGTGTTTTTCCTTGAAGGCCGGGAACTTATTGAGCGGTGTGATATATTGCATAAAGTCTCGGTCGGGGCTATTGCAGTAATCTTTTCATTAAAGAAATATTTTTTGTTCATATCAAAAACTGTGGTCCAAAAAAAGTTATAATTTTCTGATGGCTTTTCTAAAATAAGCATTATACAAGCTATGCAGACTGCCTCAGTCAAATTACATAGTTGTGATGCGTTTTGCAATGCTTTAGTGTAAAACGAAATAAGATCTGGTATAATAGCACTATGGTTATTAATCTCGGTACATTATATGGATAAAAGAAGCCATTCGAGATAACTTTGCCGAATTATTTGATTTGTGCTTTTCAGCCGAATGCCAGTTTTAAAAGTGTTAATAACCACACTTGGTAATTCGTTGGTAAATTTTTGGGTCCACAAGGCGAACATGTCTAACATGCAACAAATTACTTTTTCCTGAGTTTCACACTCCAGCGCTTTCCAAAATAATGTAACAGCTTCATTTAAAATGTTGGGCAAATGGTCTTGATTTATGTTGTTGAAGCTTAGATAGCCAGCTCCCTGAAATAAAAATAAAAAATTACATGGATGATTTATGTATATATGTACAAAGAGCAGGCTGATAAGTTTGTATTATGTCCGTTACTCCTACGGTTTGAAAACAAACCAAAAAACTTTCAGTGACACAGAATCTGTACAGTTTTGTATACTTCTTCGCAAAGTTCAGCGTACAGCACAAAAAAAAATGAAACGTTGACTTCAACGTTAAATAATCAAAAGTTATGTTTCGCGGATTTCTTACTATGTCATTTTTTTTTTTAAATAAGTCCAAACACATTTAAAAAAAAAAAATCTCGAGAACGGTTTAAATTAAGATCGAATTGTAGTATTTTTTGTTCTCACTTTTTCAAGAACCAATGTTCTGAGATCGACATTATTCGACATCGTTTAATAAAAATAAAAATCTTGATCTCGTGGCGAACTTAATCTAGGGATGAAAAAAAAAAGAAATAAATAATGACAGATATATTCCCTCTCAGAAACTTTTCGGAAGGCTTCCAAAGTAAACTTCGGCTCTCGTAAAATGTTCGTTCGCGAGTTTATATTTTTTCAACCAGCTTCCCGGCAAAACACTTGGCAGGAGCTTCTGAAACTTAATTAATCTTTTAATCAACTAACTATACAATATTACCTGTAAACTGGTAAATCATCGCATTTACAGCTGGGAAAAATAGCACAGCATATTTTTAAATGGTCATCACTTGAGATCATTTTTTAAACATAATTTCTTATATAGCTATCGACTTGAAATCGAACAAATAAGATAGCAAAGGAATTTGGACCGACGACTCATAAATCATAACAAAAACAAGCCTAAATTGTTTTGTTGCGTTTTGTACTGACAGCACCAACTTCCCTTAAAAAAAAATAACAAGAATCTTGATAGCATTAAGAGCGCATATGTCGCTGTAAATTGCTTGCCCAGTAATTTTGTACTGTTGCTTTAATTATACCCGTTACTCGTAGAGTAAAAGGGTATACTAGATTCGTCGGAAAGTATGTAACAGGCAGAAGGAAGCGTTTCCGACCCCATAAAGTATATATATTCTTGATCAGGATCACTAGCCGAGTCGATCTAGCCATGTCCGTCTGTCCGTCTGTCCGTCTGTCCGTCTGTCCGGATGAACGCTGAGATCTCGGAAACTATGGGAGCTAGGCTATTGAGATTTGGCGTGCAGATTCCTGAGCTTCCTACGCAGCGCAAGTTTCTTTCAGTAGACTGCCACGCCCACTCTAACGCCCACAAACCGCCCAAAACTGTAGCTCCTACAGTTTTGATGCTAGATAGAAAATTTTAACTGAAATGTAATGTTCTCATCAATACCTATCGATTGACCCAAAAAAAAGTTTGCCACGCCCACTTTAACGCCCACAAACCGCAAAACCCTGTGACGCCCACAATTTTCATGCTAGATAAAAAATTTTAACTGAAATGTATTGGTCTCGTCAATACCTATCGATTGATCCAAAAAAAAATTTGCCACGCCCACTCTAACGCCCATAACGCTTAAATCTGTATACCGCCGGTAGGTGGCGCATTTTAATCTCGCTTTGCTGCTTGCATATCTCCATATAGCTGAGTAACGGGTATCTGATAGTCGAGGTACTCGACTATAGCGTTCTCCCTTGTTTTATATTAACCTTGGCTACGAACCAGGATAACTTATAAATCGTTTTGAACTTACTTAAAAAGCAGGACTAAGCCCAATACCAAGGTGATGTGGTATTATGTTGTTGGTTTAATATGATATTAAAGACTTCTTAAAAAAATGCTTTTTTACCAAACTTAAACATTTTATCACGAGTTTTATGAGCTTTATATAAATGTATATTGTTTCAGTCCAAGTTTTTGGAATTTAGTTATCCAAAACATAAGACAAATATTTGAAATTCCGATTTTCTTTTAAGCCACTCTTTATTATACTATTGGCCTTGATAAGATTATATGTGCTCCTTGGCTAATTAAAAGGCAATCCTAACCATTTTTTTTTAAATTCGTTGTTGTGCAATAATTTTTTTTAAAGCTAATTAAATATTAGTATCCTTTTTTTTTACAAATATTCCGGATTAGGATTACTAGCCAAGTCGAACTAGCACCGTCCGACTTTCCGTTCGCCTGTATGAATGCAAAGATCTCAGATACTATAAAACATAGAAATAGATTCTTGTGCAGCGCAACGCAATTTGAACTAAAATGTAACACCCATAAATGGCCATAAAACATCACAAAACTGTTCATATGAACGCTGAGATTTCGTTAATTTTAAAAGCTATAAAATTGCAGATTTCAGAGATTCTTTCGCAGCCCAAGTTTGCAAGTGCCTCAACCACCAACCGCCCAAACATGATGTTAAAACAAACTTATTGATTTCGTCAATACCTATCGAATGACCTAAATCCGTGACCGGAAATAGTCTGCGTAAGGTAGAAGTTACTAAGGGGTTAGGCTGGAAATTAGCAAGTGCGTTTATCATCCTATGCTCGCGTGGGCCCATCTCCTATTCCATGCCTCCATTGTTCTACTTTGCTGTGTCCTGCTCCCTTTGCTCTTATTCATTCGATCTACCGAAAGCAGGCCTATAGAGATAGTTTCGTCTACCACTAGATGAGCAGGTGATACTTGTGACACGCAGCGTCTGTATACGTATTTTCACTGGCTGCTGTATGTCGAGCTATTCATAACTTCGGCTTATATAAACGCGGCACACAGGACTGTCGAGGTCACCACTGTGGCTATGACTGGCTTACTCTTCTGCTCTTCTATGTATTTCTGTATTTCTTCTCAACACCGCCTTCAGCGTCTGAGTGGTAAAAGAGTATTGAATTAGATGCGTCCTCGTTCAATTTGCCCGGTCTGGGAATGAGAACCAGTTCCTGACGTTTCCAGTCCGTGGCAGCCTGTGGTCGATCAGTTCCCCCAGATACTTCTTTGTAGACTTGACACAGTGGTAGTTGTGTATGTATTTCTGTATGTCGACGGACAATAGTTAAGCCTAGTACTCAGATCGGCTTATTCTTATTATTCTTTGTAGTGTGACCGAAGTTTTCAAAGTTCACCCGCAATGGTTTGAAATTTAAATTTAAAAAGGAGGAGTCTGCTGGTACACAAAGAAATTAAAATAAAAATAAATGGAATGTTCAACGAATGTTTTTATTTATGTAAATTAGTTGTTTAAAGCTTCCTTCTCGTCCCACGGAGGCTTCGCCATCTTTCCCGCTCCACCGCAGTCCAACTCCGAGTCTCAATGGCAT